TCGTACTATAACCAAGAAAGTGTTAATATACCTCCAAGTAAATCATTAATTATACATTAAATTTCTTTAATTTCCGTTCGCATTTCTCGTTTTCAGATCTATTCAATGAATCCGAAGAGCCGTTTTGTACAGTAGATCTTATTCAATTAACGGTTGCCACCTCCAGTCTTCATGTAAACAATGTCGATCATAATCTTTCCACGTTACGACTTCCCTCGGTATTTTCCGAATCTAACACATTACCCAAAACATATCCAGATATTTTGAAACCTGCTGAACCATCTTTATCAATGAATACTAAACAAATGGATCAAATAGCAATGAAATCCACTGTGAAAAACTATATGACAGTTGCCACATACATTTCCGAAGTCAATGAAAATAGCCTTATTGATTACATGTTCAATTATGAAATAAGATTTTCAAAAAATGTTCTGCAGATAATGAGATATCTTTCACAAAAACTTTCTCAACCATTTCTTATTTATGAACTTGACTTCGAAGTCACGTCTTTCTTTCGCTATTTACGCTGGAAAATGCTCAATTCATATCTGAAACATACAAAGCGACTACGAGCACTCATCGAACGCATGTTCGGCATCATCAATCTCGGCGTACGTATGCACACACATGTTTAGTCAAATTTATCTGTGCTTTTCTTCTTGAAGATAACCAACTATCCCGGTAGTCATGCAACAGTAACACAAATATGGGAAGATATACAAAAGAGCATATCAGTCGATGTAACTCATCTCATGACTTTCGCCAGAGACGTAAGTCTACTTTCATTTTATATATAAAATCTTCTACTACTGACAGCGATTCGCTTCTTTTAGATGCCTGGGTTGAATGAATTGAATACGAATGATTTTACTCGAATCCTGAATAATCGTGTATTCGATTTTTACATTGTAAGATTCTATCTTAAGATCGCCCTTGCGTTAAATTTTCTTTTAGATTTATAATTATCCTTTATTTTACAAAAATGAATCGTATACAATGACAATCAACGGTTTCCAATATAGTCGCCATTTTATGAATCAAATCATTGGAAAGAAAACGACCGATGCTTTACACGAATTTTCCGCTAAACTCCACACGTTGAATATCACTCAAGTGGAACATAGTCTGATCATTCCGATTATTCTTGGTTTAGCCGATGAAAAAATAGTCGATAGTGAAAGTGTATATTTCATTAAATATTGTTTTATGTATGCACTTTATATTCAATTATGTACGACTCGAACTGAGGATGAAGCGAAATTCGTATTCGAACAAATCTTACAAGTAAATTTATTCTGAAATATTCAATTCACAAATGTAGTTTTCGTGTTATTTAGCTTGTTGATTCAATTGAGACTATCAACAAATTATGCAAAGAAAATATTGGCGCATTGGTTCTGGACAAAACACTGTCTCAGAAGTAAAACTCAATTCTTTTCCCTATCTTCACTTTTATTAGTACAAAAGCTGTGTATATTTATTGTTAATAGAATGAGATTAAATTATTTTTAAGTCTAATTATTCACCTTCAGAGATGCTATCAATTACATATGAAGGCTGCAATCATTTGTAACGCTTATTCAAAAGAATAATAACTGTTGTTAGAATATACTCGTATTGTAAATCCTTTTGTCATAGTTGAAGGATTATATTGTTGGAAAAATTAAAACATGGCTGACATGTGTGCGAATCGGTTAACTATTATAACGTCGTAGAAGGAAATAATATCATCATTTAAGCCGGAAAACAGAAAATGCACAAATAGGAAAGCTGTCTCATTAGAAGCATACTGCGGAAAGCCTTCTGTTTTTCATTAAAATATTTATTGCGAATCCAGGAAAGGTTGGTTATTAGATTTTATTAGAATTCAATGAGAATGTTTAACTGCTTGATTTATGTGTGCCGTGCCTGAGATCATGTTCGTCATTTATGTCATTAATAAAAATATAGTAAATAGAAAATTGCTCGCAAGTCTTAAAAGGCATTCAGTCCAAATCCATAAAATAAAAAACATCTTTGAAGTTATCTACACTATTGTATATAAAACATAACTACGAAAACAAGAATGATTGCTTTGCTTTAATGATGGAATAGTACCTGTGTCATAGCAAGCAAAACCAATTATTATTACATAGATACAATTATATGCTTTCCATTGACGATAATTTATATCTTTTCGATTGATATCAACGTGTTTGTATGAGACGGACGACTGCTTCTAATCAATCTATTTATTGAATGTCTCAAAGTGATTGTAAAAAGCATTCGATTGATTTATTACTCGGAAAAAGTACGTCTTACAATATAACAAAACTAGTATGATGTACAACTGGCTACTTGAACGACATATGTAATTTCGTTTTCATTGTGAAACAATCTCATATATTTTTCGAATTCTGTTTATAGAGTTCGGTCGATTCCAACAGTGATTGGAGCGTACAGTAGTCTCTGTGCACTTTGTGCTACACTATGCTGCTGTGCTATTGTACTGGTTGTTTCTCTCATTCCGCTGTACTTAAATAACAGTACAGGTCAAGGACTGGGGGAATGTAAGAAAGAATAGATTTGATCTGCTAAATATCTAGAAGTATTTACTGTTTCAGTTTACTGCCTTAATAATTATAGTTTACAAGTGGGATTTCAAATTCCTGAATACAATACAACATTTACTGATACGGTGACTAGAGCAGCATATACTTTCTCAACTAACACCGTTTCGTTACCGAGTGTTATTGGATCATGTGTTGCTACAAACTGCCAAGCTCGAACATCAGAGTCCATCACTGTTAGTGATCTGTGTGCATTTCAGGTGAAATCATTGATTTCTCCAGCTATTCCAAATGCAAAAGTGTTCAATAGCTATGCTTTGAGTGAAGCTGTAAGTTCAGAAAATTGTCGTCCGTTAAGTTTTTGACATGCTATACTCGTAGTGTTATCGAACCTTACAAAGTTGCCATTATGATTCACTGCTAACATCGTGTCTTTTATCAAATTGTGTAGTGGTTGGCCTTTCTAGTGCATCCTCGAGCGTTTCGTCACCTTTAACTTATTACTTTCTAAGCTGTACGACAAATATTTATTATCAAACTCGTTGTATGGATGCTGGACCCAATGATCGATTGTACTATTCTAGTTCTCAGCAAAACAGCGGTTGTCGTCAACAACGTTTAGACCAAATCAACAAGTGTTTAAACTCTACAATCGCGTTGTTAAATGTTCCGTCCGCCATAAGTGTTTCTAGTGGTTTAGTCACCGCTACAACTGGCAGTTGCACTCAAACCGTTGCTTCTAGTAGTAGTCAACTGAATATAAACAGCAATTTAACCCCAGCGACTACTGGATCCGTTCCATTCGCCTGGACGCCTACTTCAACATCAGTTACATCAAGTACCACTTTTCAAAGTGCAGCATTTTCAGCATCAGATCAAAACGATGGTCATGCTTATAGAATTACGTCTGTTAATAGTGCAGTATACAGTACAACTCGTAAGTAAATCATCGATCGTAGATTCATTTCCTATCTTCTTTCTTTGTGTAGAAGTTGGTGCTCGATACTGCGGTGCTATAACCCGTGCACAAATCGCTTCCGCTATTAACGATGTGATTAGCTCTCAAAGTTCTTGATCGTCTCCAAAATTTTGCCTCCAACTTTGATTTTTTAAAGTTTTAGTATACTAATAATCTAGCTAAATAGAACGTCGATTGCTTACTAACCTAATCCAATATATTTTTCTGACTTTGATCATTATTGTTATGTTATGTTCCTATCATTAGAAATTAGGAAGCTAGCTTTGTACATATTATCTATGTAAAAATATTCGTAGCAAACTTGTCAATTGTTCAAGAGTGGAATCAAGTCTGGTTAAATGATGAAAAAAGACTTCTTTATCTACTTAAACAACGACATTGTGAATTTGGACTAATTTTAAAATCGATTGTACCTAAACAACACGCTATGAGATCAGGTTTTTAGAATAGCTAAGAAAGATTTACTTGTGCTGTGACATACTGTTCATTGCCTTCATTGAATATTAGAATATGAATTGTTTCAACAATTGTTGATGAACAAAGACTCCAAAAGGATTCATCCAAATAAAATAGAATGTGCTCAAGTTTTAATATTCGGTCAAGAATTTCGTATGCAATGTGACAGGGGATCTGTAAACGAAGTATCAGAGCACTAATTTTTACGAGCGGAAGTAAATATCTTGATGCAAGTAAATAATGAATATACTGGATCCGAAATACAGCAGCAGGAGTACTGTATCAGTATTGAAGATATAATAACACCAACCTAGACGAAATCTATAGCAGGATCGACGCGAATTTCACTGCATTGCCTTTCGTATTACTACTATTCGTCCGTGATCATGATTAGCACTACTATGAGAGTGTGAATGCGATTGATGATATTGATCGATCACAGATGAAGATTGTCTGTTCACATAAGTATGATGATAAGCATGAGCATGATTTACTGAGAAAATACGGACTATATTTATAACTAATCTAGCAACAGAAACATAACTAACAGCCAATTTGTAGAGAATCAATAAAACGTTCAACAGTTTCATGGAAAACGAAAACTGCAGCTACAATCAGAAATAAACCATTCACAAAACCATCACTGATCAGTCCAAGAGAATTTGATCAAGTGTCATACAAAAGTTCGACAAATGTGAACGTTTATTTCAATTTCTGAAAATATTTACCGAACGAAAGAAAATGGAATATTCACAAGATTGGCACAGAGAAAGTAGAAGATCTTTCTTAAATCTGTTTCAGCGAGAATGTCTCTGAATCTTGAGCGTAAAATAGACAATAATGATTGTGAATTTTGTTGTATTACGTTAAATACTGGTAGATCATCTTGACTATAAGCAGTGAATGCATCTGAATGCTACTCGCTCGGTTTTGATAATAGTATAGTTGCGAAAATGAACATCACAAGATCAAAAACCACGCCACCGGTCAGTGCGTGTTCACCTAATTCAATCTGTCAAACACTATCATGAAACTGCGCTGAACTTTCACTTATAGTTGTCAACGGTTGTGCCCAAAGAAACTTAATAATAAGTGCACTGGTCATCATAGTAAATGTATTAATTATATTGTAATGTTCGTAACTGACCAAGTTTAGCAGTAGCTATTTGTTTGACATAAAAATCAAAAGCAAAAATTTTTAAAACTTTGTAAATATAATAGAAACCATTACTGAAAGAACATATGTAAACAATGACAAAGTCGATTGATTCATACTAGAATCGATAAATAATTTCAATTCGAGAAGAAAACTAGTATTCTTACATTGAGATTATTGATTAACATGATAAGAAATGGTGCCGTTGCGAGAAACATTGTCGACAGACGGCTGGTGTAATGGTAAGTACATAGATTGTCTTCGGTCCGCCAACATCAAATACTAATTTTCTGTTCGAAGAATTGAGACCAGATCGTGCAGATAAAGCAACGAATGGAATAATAACACCACTTTTATAGTCAGCAACACTCATGAAGAATGTGAATGGATGACAAACATGATCTACCGAGCAAGCTAAAATCTACACCAAGAAAATCGATGTCAAATCAAGCTATAGGATCTCAGTAAACCATAGGTGATTGGCTAATGAGAAGTAGAAGAAGAATATGAGGCGCATCACCCAATATTTGAGATTTCGATGACTTCGAAAAGTTGCTGAATACAGAGTCAAGCATTTTGTTATCTCACATATACGACTGATAAAATGGCATTGGCATTAGAGGGAACATATGGCCGGTGTGAGATAAAATAAAAATATTTGATCGGACAGTTTGATGTCAACAAAAGAGTACTATAATTTTCTATTGATATGTAGTTGTCACTTGATACCGAAATGTTACTGAAAAAGATTCTTATTTTACTAATAAGTATGTTACAGTGCACAGGCCTGTTGAAAAATTCATGTTAATGACCTCTGTTAGTTGCATCTAACTTCATCTCAAAGGTTTTATCACGTCTGAAGTTCATTGTAATTCAATTTGTCTTCAATATTTATTGAATTAACTGAATAGAACAGTACAAAACAAAAATATCGTTATAACATATTTACCGACAGATCATACTCATTATAGTTTAATATATACAAAAACCATACAACTGTTTATCGCTCGATATAAATAGGAATAATCCAACCAAGTCACGGACAATTTTTAAAGAAATTCAGGTCGAATGTCAAAATTACGTACATTTTGTTCAGGTTGTCGAACCAGTTAGCATTGTTGTATCTTCTGCAGGCGACTTTTCTTCTTCATCCGTGGAGTATTCTGATGTGACAGAACTTTCGTAAATAGGAGAAGAGTCTACTATGGATAATAAATCGGTCGGTGATTCTGATGTATCTTGAGTGGAAAATGAAGCGATGTTGTCTGTTGATGATTGGATTATAGTAGATTGTGGCGTTGTGGTATTGTCTGAAACTGTCAGTGTGGTATCGATTTCTGTAGTAGGTGTAGGGACATCGGTAGCTGTTGATTGTGTACCCGTTGTACTATCCGAAACAAATACATTTGATGTGGAAGAAGAATAGTCTGTTGTGGACGTGGACGTATCCGAATTGGAACTGACGAAATTATCCGCGGTCGTCAATGTGTTCTCAGCATTAGTGGATTGTAGATCAGTTATTGAGTTCACTAACGTTGACGTGTTCAAGGAAGTGGTCGTGACATCTGACGTACTATTCATCTGCGATGTAACGTCAGATACCGTCGTACTAGTTGATTGAACTGTAAGAGTGCTTGCAGATACATTCGTTACCGCTACCGATGTAACTAATGTCGTAGTAGTTGCAGAAGTGGCTTGTGTAGTCAACCCTGCCGTCGTCGCTGATGTGGTGGTCGATGTACTTGTTTTTGTTGCTAATAAGAGAAGTCAAAATATAAGCACTATTCGTCAAAAGATGGCTAAATATTTAAAACTTTTGATAACTGATTACTCTGGGTCAGAGTCGTGTATTTACTAACGCTAACTTTCATTCGATCGATACTAACTTGTTGTTGTATGCGCGGATGTTGTCGTAGTAGTTACTAAATTAGATTATATTAAAGTATAACAATGGAATTTAAAAAAGACATAGTCTACCTGTTGTTGATTCAGTAGTCGTCGTTTGCACCGTGGATGTGGACGTTATTGTCGCTTCTGACACTATACGAAGGTCATCGGTGTTTTCTCACAGAAATGCAACGAAATAGATTTCCAGACTTACTCGATTCGCGCTCACTGAGTTCCTTGTTTTGTTTAACTAGAAAAGTATTGTTCTAGACCCTAGGGCCAACGAAGGAAAAAAATCGATACGAACGAGTTAGGCTGAGTGCTGTTGCTAAAATTCCGATAACAAATAGAGCAACAATAAGCATGGTAAGAAAATAACAACTATGTTTTCTAATTTGAAACATTTTAACCGGTCTAAAATATCTTCAATTGAGTGCAATGTAATCATTAGGGAAAGATTCGCCTACTCCGGAAGTATTCCACTTGTAGCTTCGTAGGATTTCGAATCAAGACCGTGCTAAAAATTCAGTTGAAACTTATATTTCCTCGACGATCAATTTAAGCATATACTTACTATAGTGTTGTCAGGTCCGATACGTCTTTGGCCGGGAAACGAAATAAAGTAGTCGCTGTATCGAGTTTTCGGTTGAATATCTTCCATCTCAAAATGCAAATATGAATATATTATTACTGAAAAACAATACTTCCGATATACTTCAATGGGTGATTTCATATGCGGTCGTGTCACAGATGTACGCCTCTTCGTTGATACGAAATGCACATTAATGTTGGGTTGACTTTTACGCGCTACTGTGACCATTGTCGGCTTGGATTCTTGACATGAAAGAGTGTTTGAACGATGTCGAGCACTTTTGATCGATTTTACTGTCTTGAAATTGCATTTAAAAAAGGTGAAGAAGAGAATTTATACTATCTATCAACAAATACTTACGGGTAGATTTCTTTCGGAAATCCTAATCACCGTGGGTTTTCTAACAATTGATGCCATTGTCTAGCAAGTCTATGTGTTATGACTGAATCGAACAAGATTAATAGTAGAATGATTAATTCTGCGAATAAAACATGAGGACAATAGGAAATCTTGTAAGACTGGAGAAGGAAAGAAATGATGACGACAATCAATATAAAATTTAAATTTTTCTATCAAGGTACTTCAATTGTATACACACAAGCTTTGCAAATGCTTCGCGTTCGATATACTAGGAAAGTTCATATCTATAGTTCATCTTTTCAAACTGAATAAATTTAGTATCAGTTAATGATTCAAGATAAACAGATGGTAGTCTGTGATTGTCAACTATGTGAGTATTGATATCATTCGTATTCTGTAGGTTTGTTTTTGCGCATTGAATTTGAGTGTACACATGTACTCAAAACTTTCTTCGCATATGATGAAAAGCTGAATAAATATTCGAGATGTTCTTTTACTTCTATTGGATGTTTTCCTCGAGAAAGATGTACTTTTGCAGATTCTTCCAACTAAGCTATATTTACAATTATTCTTTTATTGAATTTCAATGTATTGACTGATTTACATAAATAGAAATGATGGTGTGAGATTGATAGTGCTAAAGTT